AACTACTCAGATTGTAGACCATTTGAAAAAAAAAGTTTTGTGTCTGAAGTGTGATATAATGATAAACATTCTGTTCAAGTTTGCTGACTGAAATTATATTCACAGATATTCGACTTCATGATCATCGTAGCGATGGTAGAATGTCTTAAATTTCAAGAATGTCAGCACGCAGATTATAGTTTTTCGTTGTTTTACGGATTATAGCCTTTGAACGGTCGTAATTCGACTTCATATACATGTATATTTTTCGGATTGGTTTTGTGGGGGGGGGGGGGGTGTTAGTTTTCGTCAACGAAAACTAAGAGGAGCCTTTGTTTTCGAAATTAAGAAATCTAAGGCCCCTAAATTAGAATTGAAAACGGATTTCCCGTTCCTTTCGGCAAATCCAAATCCGGATTTTTGATTAGTCGAAAGGTTCAGCGGTATTTCCAGTTGAACTATACACTTAGAGTTTCCTAGTTGCTGTCATTTGCCCTATAGGCCTTGAAAAATGTAAAAAAGAATGCGATATTGTTTAAATTATTCTGGCACAAGGTTTTTGTCGACTGAAAATTGAAATTACTCAATGTCAATGTTTCCGGATGGATTCCGTCTTATGTACTTCTTGGGCACTCAGAAAAAGGCCAAGATGTAATGTGAATAAATATCTTTGACCAGTTGAAAAATACATTAATGATGTTGATCCCTTTTTCAAAAACTTTTAGGTTAAAGAAGGCATCACATGAAACTAGAAATACAATGGAATCTCACGAATATATAACTCGAACCATTAGATAACAAACCTTTATTTAAAGATTGGCTGCGTTGGCTTTTGCTTGTAGATATGCTTTAACTGCGCTGACAGCGAAATGCCAAAATGGCAAGTAAAGCGGAAACTTTTTGGAGTATAGCAAATTTGGTAAAATCGGCAAACGGCTTTTATAAGTGATCACAAACACGAGAGGAGTGAACCTTACTCGCATGACAAAGAACTGCGGGAAATCGCACAAGAAAAATCGCAATTTTTGCTGCTACGTGCGAAACCTGGACATAAGTGGGATTAGAACCCTTGACCTCTGTGATACCCGGTGCAGCGCTCTACCTATTAAGCTGACAAGCCAACTGAAAGCAGCTGGAACCTGCTCCCAGTTGGCACGTTAGCTTAATTGGTAGAGCGCTGCACTGGTTTCGCAGAGGTCAAGGGTTCGAATCCCGTACAAGCCTAAATTATTTTTTTCAGGCTTTCTTTTCGCAACTCCAAAAGTTGCGTATAGCTGCGATGATCTTCCTTCATTTAATTCTTCACTCCGCAGTTCACATAATTATATGATTTTCATATATTCATAACTTCATTACAAATATTTTTCTTCATCACTTTACCCATAATCATAAGGCCAGCAAGAATAACAAATACTAATGCGACCCTGATTGATAATATATTTGTACACAAAATAGAAGAGAACAATAAATGTGGTATCCTTTTTATCGTGAGATCTTTCGGATCACTTACTAGTGTTCGCAGCAATGGGTAACTTGCTTGCAAAAGCTCAAACGCCAAAAGGGTAACAAAAAACAAATTTAGGTTAATTGATGATAAAATGCTAAATTGCCTCTGCCAAGACTTGGAATGTGAAGATTGAATATTGATGTTTATGGTAAGACGGTTTTAAGATCACGTTTACACTAAATAATATCAGTTGTTGAACAAAAACGTACCATTAACGAGACCCAGTAAAAAGAAAAGTGATAACGGGCAGAGAGTACCTTGGATATCAAAAGGAATCCTAAATTCAAGGAAAACAAAAAATGTGTTATATAAAAATTTCTAAAGGAATCGGAATGAAAATAATGATTCAATTCATAAAACATTATCTTTGCCGGTGATACTAATTTATTTTACAGCCACAAAGTTGCTAACAGTTTGTGCAGTACCATGAACCGAGCAGCCTCATCAGATTTTTAAAACTAAGAGAAAGAAGTTGATGAGACTACCACACTGAATTAAAATTACTGGTCGAATGTTAAAAGTACTACATTTCTAGGTCCTAAATATGAATTGAAAAACAGATACAGTTATGATACTCGATCAGCATTAAATATATTTATTATTCCCAGTCAGTAGGAGGACAAATTACGGAAAATGTTTGTTGGTTTTGAAACGTAATTCCTTGTCGTTAATTCCTCGTTTAATTGCTCGAACGTGCTAACGTAGTTATTATAAATCGATTATCGCCTGCATTAATGGTTTTTAATTGATAAGCCAACCGCTACATTTCCTGTCCTTTTATGTAATGTCCGCATAGGAAATACGTTATAATTTTTGGCACGTTTCGTTAACTATAAATTTAGCGTTTTCATCTTAGTTAGTTTACTTCCACTGGAGACTTCACGGTGTTAACTTCTGCAGAGATAAAGCTATATAACATTGGTGCGTGTGCAAGCTAAAGTGAGTATAGTTGTTTTGCAAATCAAAGTTTCTGTAATATACAGTGAAACCTCTATTAAGCGGACCCCCAATTAGGGGGCACGTAACGTTAATTTTCCGAAAATATCTGTTCGGAAGACGATTTGAGATCTACAATTTTCAGAACATTTGTTGTAAAATGTCATGCTTGCCTGCCTCTCCTAGGATTTTCGAACATCTAAAATTGATATAATTGCCCATTTTCGACGGATTTTTACCCTAAAAGGGTCAGCTAGAATTTTCGGGGGCCCTTTTTCTAGCTGAAATTTTCGAAAAGGTAAGTTTTGATCCCTATAATTTTCGGATCACTGGACTTTCAGCTAAGAAATCCGAACAGATGAAAAATTTTTAGGGGATAAAAATATGCCTATATCTACCGTTTAAATACTAAAATACGTTTAACAGTTCTATGTTTAAGTGGTTTTGAACTACATTCTCGTTGCTTGCCCCTGATAGCATAAAAAAACATCAGGGATGAAAAATTCGGCCAATCTTGGCAAGTTTCGATTCATGTCCACCATTGCCATCTCTTGCAATAGACGGTGGGAAATTTAGTTTCAGTGCCTAAATATATCTTGAAACAAATAACTGGACCATTTTTTCTTGAATTCAATTTATGCGAAAAACGTTTTTGGTTTTTAAAAAGATAGCACGTAGTGTGACATAGCCGATTTAAAGGCGAAAGATGCCTATATCTACCATTTAAATTCTAAAATACGTTTAACAATACTATGTTTAAGTGGTTTTGAAGTATATTCTCGTTAGGTGCCCCTGCCAATTAAGCGGACACCCTCTATTAAGCGAACACTAAGCCGGGTCCCGAAAGTAACGTCTGATACTTCTCTTTGTAACGAGTCCCTATTCAGCTAACACCTCTATTAAGGGCGCGGACACCGGACTAAATTGACAATAGTAGTATTGGGTTACGTCCTTGAAATACGTACTGTAGTCGATTTTAAAATAGATACATCCATTTAATAAATGCATTTAGCTGTCAATAAACTGTAGATTAGACGATATCCGGTCGCATGATTGTCATCCGTGATCAAAGTTCACCGAAAAGTCTTGCACAAAGTATAGTACAGCTGTTCACAATCAAAACCTTCCTTAACAGCATGAAACGTTATCACTGAGTTGAATGTTAACCGTTAACAAACGTTGCGCAATTTTTGCAAATCCCTATTTAGCTAAAATCAGTGACTTTTGTCAAACATTTAATTCATTTATTATTTCATTCCTTATAAACGCCCTAAATCCCCTCACCCCCCGAATCAATGTTGTCTGAAGTAGTAAAAGAAAGACTTGAGGGTCCAAAATACAACATTGCCGGATTTTGGGGGGAAGGGGTTGGGGTAGACAGGGGAAGGGGATAGGTATGTCCACTATGCAAAAAGGGCTATAATACGGAAGTGTCTCAACACTTTTTTCCTTCATTGTAGATTGCAACAGCACAGCCTCTTTGCTCTTCCTCCATGAACGGAGAAAAGGCCAAACTACTTCTTTTCTTTACTTGCGCCATTTTTCGCGCGGTCTTTGACTCTAAGTTCCTCGTTCTTTGCTCCTAAACCGCACAGAAACGCTTGCTACGCAGGCTAAAGCAGATTTAATCGTCAGGTCTGTCGTCAAATGGCGCGAGTTTCGCGGGAATAAAAAAAAAAATTGCGACAACTCTGACCTGCTACGCAAGACTTGCGCAGGACTCGCAATCACGGAATGCTCTAAACCGGGCAAGAACAGGAAGAAAGAAGCTTCTGTATGGATGTAATTGCTGTACCATGTCGCCCGGCTGTGCTCATCGAAGCCGTCTTTGAGGCGACGTATTGTTTCCCCCAATGTATTGTAGATTACAAAGGCGACATTGAAAATCATGTACTAGATAACACTGAAAGTAGTGCAAGTTAGATGAGAATTAATACGGCAGGTTTCACCGGTGGAATGAACATCGCTTTTGATCGTGCGTTGGCAGTGATAGTGGCTGAGCGCAGACCGAATGGCACGTCCCGAGAATAAAGGGTAATCCGTAGGGTCAATAGGTATCTGACAATAGCTAGGCGCACCGAGGATCTTTTTTAAAGACATACCTCCTTTAGCCCTGATTTTGAGTACGTATAAGCCTTCTTTAGTCTGTTTTGATAATCCCTGGAGAGTTAAATTGAAGCATTTCTTTTTTGGAGGCTTAAAGCGATAAAATAAAAGCAAGCGAATGACATGCACTGTTCTGGTCTCTGGTCTATGAATTATTACAAATAGTAGTAAGTGTCTTTATAGACATCTAGAAAGGTTGTCTCTCCACATTCAACGCTTCGCAAACAGAGGTAAGTAAACTTCTTTGCAAAGATAGGTGGAAATTAGTCGTCTATAGTTTGGGTACCACTGCAGGGACGAGGCCTCGCATAAATAATAATTATTGATAAAGAAGTGATTCGGAGACGTTAATCTACAAATGAAAACTGTGTCTTTCTTCGACCTCTCACATCTTGGCATTTTTAAGTTAATTGGTAAATATCATTGCATTGTTTGATATTTCCGTGTCTATCTACTGCAGCTTGGATCCGCCATGTCCATCACGTTGTACGATGAACAGTCAAACCCGAGCAAGTTTGCAGGGTCAAAACCGAATCTAAAGGAACTAGGTAATTACAAAACAGCCGATGTTACAGCAGGAATCTGGATCTTCTACACTGACATAAACTACAATAAAGAAGGAAATAAAGAGGGCAAGAATCAGACTTTCAAGAGAGTAGAACAAAGTTGTGGTCTTGATCCCGTTCAAATAGATTCAGTTAATGGCTCCATGTTCTTGGTAGACGGAGGACTCATTTTGTTTGAACACTTTTTCTTTGGTGGAGACAGGAAGGTACTACGAATATAATTAGTGAACTTATTCAGTAATAACTGGGGAAACTTATGTTCTCTTTGTTCTGCTTTACTGTTTATACCAAAAACAACGCAAATAAATCAAAGGCCTATGAGACACCAAAGATTTTTTTGACTACAGATTCAGCTAAAGCCGGTTAGGATAGAGTTTTTAATGGCTTTTGATTGCGGTAAAAAAAATTATCTTGCAATTCAATAATCTGCTCAGAGAGGTACAATTATGAGATAACTTAATTTTAACATGCTTATTTTAGTTCAGTCAATTTTTAATATCAATATGTGATTGCAAACAAAAGCCTTATCGGCCTAGCTGAAATCGTGTGTCGGATATATGCAAATTCAGGGTTTTAGTTCGGGTTAGTTCAAATCTTGAAATTTCAACATTCTGCATGCAGAATCTTGAAATTCTGGATGCCAAACTATTTTAATTTCAAAATTGACTCACCGTGATAACCGGGGGAGAGGGGTTACTTGAACAATATTTGGGTATGGGTGAGCCGCTGAGGGTTTGAAACCCTTAGGACAAAAAATTCCTAAAACACATACCCTGTTTACGACAACACAATCAATTTTAGTACATTGTTTAGTACGCTGTTTCCACTAAGACGAATTCGATCCTGCATGAAACACCCTGTTTATAATTAGAACAGACTCGCACAAATCATGCACACTGTTTAGGACAGACTTGCGCGAAATTATATACCCTGTTTAGGACAGAGAGGACGAAAACCATACCCTGTCCAGTGGCACTTCCCCGTATAGGCCATATCAGGGAGTATCCCCCCCCCCTCGGGGGTGATAACACACGGTTAATAACTCACCACGTTGGCGTAAAATCCCAGGGCTTTCTCAGAAGTGGGCCGCAAACTTCGATTCGAACTAAAACGTTTGCCATTACCCCTCCCACCATCCCGGAACAGATGTAGCCGCTGCCTGGAAGAGATAGACTACGAGTAGTCCCCCATTTTTCCTCAGGGATAGTAGAGCGAGCAAAACGAGAGCGCGCGAGAAAATCAACCCACGCGAGAAAAGGCGACACGCGGCGGGGAGAGAGAAAAATCTCCCCGCCGCGTGTCGCCTTTTCTCGCTTGGGGTGATTTTCACGCGCGCTCGCGTTTCGCTCGCTCTACTATCCCTGAGGATAAATGGGGGACTACTCGTAATCTAGGAAGAGAAGTCACCAATGACGAGTTTCCCTGACCCCAAACAATACTAAAACAATAGAAAGAAAGACATGTCATTGTTTCCTGCGAACAATTAGGAGAGACCTTACGAACAGCTGCTACAACACTCGGAAACGAGCTAATATTTCACGACTGACATATCCGCGAAGTAATAAAGTGAATTCCCCGCCAGTGTTTTAAACGGGGAGACTCCACCGCTCAGAGAAGTAACATTTTTTTCGTTGTATTGGTAATATGCGAAATCTTCTCGATTTGAAGAAACTAGGCGCGCAAGGTGGCACCAGTTAATTTTTCATCCTGCGCGCAAGGCGTTCTTGGGAAATTCTGGAAACATGTCGTTGACTAAGCTCCATTTCCGCCGTCTCCCGGGTCCGGTCTGCGGATGAGTGCGGGCTCATTTTCCCGAACAGCGGCTGGTAATTTAGCCTCCCACGCAGGCGTTTTTAGGGAAGCTTGTCTTTCTTGGGGGGAGGGATGAAAGACGAGCTCCCTAAAAACGCCTGCGTGGGAGGCTACTGGTAATCGAGCCTAGCCGTTGACCGGTCAGCATTAGATTAGAACCTCCCCTCTTAACTACACTTACGTGAATTTCCTAAGTCTCTACTCTTTCTACTCTTCTAGTCTTTTTCTATGGGTTGATTTCCACTGTCGCGTATTTTTTACGTGCGTAAATTTTACGTGCGCAAATAAGATAAAGGCAACTTATGAACGGTCGCTCGTAAGCGTAAAAGTTGAACCTCGCTCAACTTCACCTTTAATCTCAACACTTTGGGTCGGATATTTAAAAGAAGTCTAACTTAGACCGCGGTTTAGGAAATCTTTGGACTTTAATTTTAAATCTCGTCCATAGTGGGTTATTTTAAGAAGACAAATACTTCTCTAATCTACGCCATATGCTTTCATGAAACTGTTCACGATAAATCGTGTTTATATAAAAGCGTTCGGCAAACTGAAAATGGTTTAGAACGGCGGTTTTGTTAAACACTGACTAAACTCCGTTTAAATAACTGGCCCTTTTTATCTTGTCTTATTTTTTGTTTACGCGATTAAAATTTACGTGCGTTCCCCTGGTTAACACGTGCGTAGCCAAAAACGCGTCAGTGGAAATCAACCTTAAGTCTATGTCCCCTCAATTATTTTTTGAGAAGTGAAAAGGGAAATTGACTGTGGCATTAGTGGGATCCTAACCCGCGGTCTTAGAAACCGAACTCTATCGCCTATACCACTACACCCCAGTGGATTCATCAGAAAATGATGCGTTCGTTTTACATTATTTCTAGTGACAAACCAATAAGTAAATTAAAGTTAACCACTTAGAGTCAGTGCTTAACCCTAATCACTATAACGTTTTTCGCGAAGTTTTCAGAAAATGTCATAACCATAGAAATAGAGTTCTAAAGTGATGAGGTCAAAAAAATATAAATTTGGGAATTTATAGGATTTGTCAAGATATTCAGAAAGAACAATGTCCAAAACGCCTACTCGCCAAAAATTAGCATTTCGGGGCAAATTGTCTCTTAGATACTGGTCCAGTTAGGCTCTGATGACTCCATATAAATCCTTCTAAATATGACCTGGCTCTAAGCGTTTAGACCCTTTGGGGTGGCACAGCATCATCATCACCATCTTTTTTTTATTTAAACAACTTGGGTTTTAGAGCTAATATAGCTAATGGGGCACATACCTATAAACTGCAGCTATAAAGTAAATATAAGGGAGCACCCCACCCCGGGTAAAATCCCTACCCTTTCAAATACCTAAAGCCTAAAAAAGGTACATCATTCGGGCGTAGCCTCCCCCGCATAGGTTACTATAGGGAGTACCCCCTGGAGGGTGAATTCCAGCTTGGTTAGTTAGTCTTTTTTTTTTCAGTTTCTAGCCGTGTTGCATTTAAGATAAGAATAGTCTAATGCTGATCCAAACCTCACGATCATCTTTACTGACATAATCTGAGTGTTATCTTTTTTTTATTATTATTATTATTTTCTTGTAGTGGTTTCGAGACGATCAGGAGGATCTGACCAATACGTTCTCAGGACAACCATCTTCAGGCATCTCCTCTGGTATCGTGTTGTCTCAGCACCGGTGCGTAGTTTTGTACGACAAAACCAATTTTAAAGGCAATTATTATACTATGCAACCAGGAGAGCGGAATCAAAAGTTAAACCGCACGGGCAAGCCGGGCTCGGCGGGAGAAAACGACAAATGGCTGAGCTTAAAGTTTACTACAGAGTGTAAGAGTTGAAAAACCCAACCTGCCCGGCCAGCCACAGTCCATTTTGCTCGAGTTTTCTTTTAGTCTCGAAGTTATGTAGTTTTTGATTGAGAGGCCGATTGTAATTAGTACGCTTTAGGATTTTAAGAGTTCTAAAATGTTGTCAAAACCAGAGGGAAGAATTGAATAAATGAAGATTGTTTCCTTTATCCAGCATTTTGTCTTTGTAAACTTTAACTTAATTGTACGGGAAACTGGCTGTGACATTCAAATGGGAGATGAAACTTTTTGCCTCGTACCCCCATTTTTTTTCCCTACCCACAATTCTTTCTTTAACACAAGTGACAGTTATCAGTTTGAAATCATGGGGTCAGGAAAATCAGGAAATATTGGTCACCTTGAGAAAAGTTTCCCGGAGAGCATCATGTAAAGCTCTGAGATGGGACAAAGTTATTACGATTCGCAGAGTCTGCATCGTCCAATATCGTATTATATGCTCGTTTCATTTGGCTAAACGGATTAATCTCCCTGATCCGGGCTGAGACAGAAAGGTACGATATTGTTCGCTTTTCTAAGATGACCACTAAGTCTTTGGCCTCGGGAACAGGCTCTTAGGAGTCAAATGAATTAGTTGAGAGCAAAATTGCAGCTGAACTTTGACCCGGGCCAAGAGTTAGTATTTTTCTGGTGTGAAAACAAGGCTAAGGTGATCCGCCGACCGTGTGACTGTACATCCGGGAACTTGAATAAGACGAGTGTAAAAGAAAGGTCCAGAGGTGTTTATCTGGCAATAGGCTGAGTTTTTCCGAGTTATTCGATGATATTTCGCTTATGTTAAGCGTGAGAAGATTATGCGTGGTTGTGGATAGTCTTATCAGTGCCGCGAAAGTGTGGGATTGTGTGATTTCCGCATGCTGTTGACAGGTATGTGATTGCGTGGTTGAACTGCGGTTTCGCCAAAATATTCTGTGCCAGCCATTAATATTGTTTCGTCGGTGTTTAGCTTAGCTGATTGTACCTTGGAAAAGCAGCCCTCGACTCAGGAAAATTAGATCTAGGTCTAGTTTCAGCAGGCTCTAATGGCATTGCACCATAGGCCGGTTTTTGCAGACAAGAAGGTGATAATTTGTGCACTATGTTTCATTCAGTTTGTAGTCTATTCCATGCGGAATCCTGTTGTTTATCGGACCGCCAAAAAAGTAGTGTTTTGCTAACTATTTAAGTTGTGATGTAAGCCTTAACCAGGCACTCTTTCGCTGCAGCTTACTCAACTTAAAAATTTCTAGACTGAAATGACACCGGTTTGAAACTTCGCGAAGTCAGTTTACTGAATAAATGTTCTAAAATTTGCGTCATTCTAAATTTGGACTCGTTGGAATGCTTCTAGGGACCATTAACGCACTGCCCGGCGTCATATAAAGGCTTTTAATCGGCCTTTGAATGAGTTTTGTTGTTTTAAATTGCCAAGTAGTAGAATGACTTGATATTTTTGCTAACCCGGTTTTCAAAAATCCAGGTATATATGAGCTTTCTGGAATATTATGCCGAGAAAAAAGGAGAGTCCGACTGGTGAACTATTTCAAAAAAGCGCTTCAG